TCTGATCACCTCTCCCCAATACTTCTTAGTCCGCCCTCTACCTCTTCTCGTGCCATCCACAACCAGCTGCTCACACCTCCGTACCGAAGCATCTGGGCTTCTCCTCTGAACATGTCTGAACCATCTAAGCCTCGCTTCCCGCATCTTGTCATCAATACTATACCATCTTCGTCCTTGATGCATCTCACTTGGTCCAAATCCCGAGCCTTCCTCTCTCTCAACTTGGCCAGCCGGAATAACTTCTTCTCCCCACTTTTTTTCCCCAATTCCTCGTACATACGACCATAAGCCGCAGTCTTAGCCTCTGTGACCGCCAACTTAGCCTCCTTCCTAGCTGACTTATACCTCTCCATGCACACTCACCTCTCCTCCTCACCTATGCTCCCCACTAACTTCAGGTACGCCGCCTTTTTTGCTTCCACTTTACCTTGGACCACTTCATTCCACCACCAGTCTCCTTTATGCCCACCAGATATGCCCGTCGAGACCCCTAACACTTCTCTCGCAGCCTCCCTAATATAGTCTGTTGTCGCTGACCACATAGTGCTCGCGTCACCACTGCTCTTCCAAGCTCACATAGCCGACAACCGCCCCTCCAACGCTTGGGTTTTATCCTTAGTTAAGGCTCCCCACCTGATTCTCGGTCTTTTTCGAGTAGACCTTTTCCTCCTCTTTAACATAATACCAACGTCCATCACCAAGAGCCTATGCTATGTCGCGAGTATCTCACATGGAATCGCCTTGCAATCCTTGCACAACCCTCTGTCACACCTCCTGAGGAGGAGATAGTCAATCTGGGTCTTCGCCACCGCATTTTGAAAAGTAACCAAATGCCCATCCCTCTTCCGAAATCTAGAGTTCGCAATCACCAACCCAAAAGCCTTAGCGAAGTCCAACAACGATGTACCTCCTCCGTTCTCTCCCCAAAACCGAAGCCTCCATGCACCTCGCCATAACCACCTGCGGTCGACCCAATATGCCCATTGAAATCCCCTCCTATGAGGTACACCGTATCCGAATTGAAATTAAAAAAATTAAAAATAACTGAATGTATTTTGGCCCCTAGTGTGTATCAACATAAATTCGAATTAAACGACCAAACCAAACAACGAACGATATCACTACAATTGAGCATAGTTTCAGGATACTTGGATTAATTTGCAAAAGTACTACTGTTATTTCCGTAAATGTTGACTAGGCAATTTAGCCCAAGCTCTGAGAATTACTAGGTTAACCTTTCATCCTTTGACCTATCATGTTTTACAATATTGTCAAAGATTATGTACAGAAAGATAACACTAAATCTAGCTGTTTATTAGGATTCAATTGGGACCCCAACAACTCAAATACATGACTTTCCTAAGAGACTCCTCAGATTGCTTAACCTTCTCCTTCAATGGATCTTTGTTTGCAGAAACCAAAGAAGAAGAGTGAGAAGAGAGCTTCTCGGCCTGTGAATATGACCTTACATTGTTCTTTGCATGTTGATGTATGACTCTGATTGTGTAATTCCATCTACAGATTCCTTGATCTTTTAGTGCCTCTACTACTCCCAAGCTCACTGCTGTAACCCATGCCTTGCTTGTTGAACTCATTTTCTAATCTTGAATCTTGAATCTTGAATCTTGAACTTTGGCTAAGTTTGTGAAGGTTTATTTTGTTGTCTAAAATATTGGTTGAACTCTCTCCATATATATGATGCACATTTACACATATGGATAAGAGCTGGAAAACAAAAATAAGAGGTTTTTGGTTGTGGTTCCTATGGTTTTGGAGCACGGTATTCCAGTTTTGGAGTTTGGTGTGCGGCTATGAATGTACATTTCCGCCCTTGCTATAATTTTTTATGATCACAGTTATGGGGGTGTAGTTGGTATTTCAATTATTAATGCTCGAGGGGAGGGTCGGTTAGTTGAAAGAGCACATAGAATTTTGAGATGTTGTTTGGATACTTACTATATTGGAGACACGTAGAGTGACAAGTGCTTATGTGCCTAATGCCTAGTTGAATAAGTATACGATAAATAAGTGGAAATCTAGGACTCGGGGACATGAATTGGCTATGATTAAAGAAAATCCACTTGCGCCCAAACCATGGGAAAAGAATTTGAACATGAAACCACATTAATGTTTGGAGTTACGTACTTTACAACATGACGCGAAAACACTGTAGAAAATCGCACGTAGTTACAGTTCTTGTTTCTACAGTAGGGTAACTTATTTAAAAAACGGAAAAGGGTCAAAATTGTCTTCGAACTATTGAAAATAGTTCAAATATATCTTCCATTTATTTTTGGTATCAAATTTGTCCTCGCCGTCTAAAAATTAGACCATTATTACCCTAAAACTAACGGCTGTCACATCAGCTTTTGGACATACTTAAATATTACGGGAAAAGGGTCAAAATTGCCCTCAAACTATCGAAAATAGCTCAATTATATCCTCCGTTTTGTGTTTGGTACCAAATATGTCCTTGACATCTAAAAATTGGACCATTACTGCCCTAAAAACTAATGGCCGTCACATAAGCTCATGTAAACAACAAAAGTCTATCTCCAACAGACGGTCCTCCATCTTTGACAAAAGCCCCCACGAATAAAATTTCTTTCTCCAGTTTCATTCCTTGACTCATCGAAGTGTTGCTCCTTCCAAATAATTAAAGCTACACCAATCTTATTATGAGAAATTTAGTTGGGCTATTATTAAGATTCACAAATCTATAAAAAAAAAAAAAAAATTCAATATACTATACAAGAAATAAAATACCAACTTTTATCACTTAAAATCATAANAGATTCACAAATCTATAAAAAAAAAAAAAAATTCAATATACTATACAAGAAATAAAATACCAACTTTTATCACTTAAAATCATAAATCTTATCACAAAAATGGTGGAGAACAACAAAAGTTGTATATTGCAGTACTCATATGGCTAGCTATCAAAGCTCATATCTCAAAAAGGTCACAAATTAGTTGTAGAGCTATATCCTTTTAAAAATAACTCTCATAAAAAACTCGAAAACCATTAGAATGAAACCATCCTCTAAAATACTATACCCTTCCACTTCCAGCTTTCATCAACATAAAAGAAAAGAAGATGGACCGCAAATAAGACCTAGACCCAAAACCTCATAAAAAGATATATTTTTTAGACACCACCTAATCCTTCCCCTTCTCACTAGCCTAGCTAACAGGCCACCTGAAGTGCTTCACTGCGCCTTCACGAGAAATACAGCAACCCCTCGCAGAAAATGGAGAAAGAAATTTTATTCGTAGGGGCTTTTGTCAAGATGGAGGACCGTCTATTGGAGATAGACTTTTGTTGTTCACATGAGCTTATGTGACGGCCGTTAGTTTTTAGGACAGAAATGGTCCAATTGTTAGACGTCAAGGACATATTTAGTACCAAACACAAAATGGAGGATATATTGAGCTATTTTCGATAGTTTGAGGGTAACTTTGACCCTTTTTTCATAATATTTAAGTATGTCCAAAAGCTAATGTGGCAGCTGTTAGTTTTTAAGGCAATAATGGTCTAATTTTTAGACGGCGAGGACACATTTGGTACCAAAAATAAACGGAGGGTATATTTGAGCTATTTTCGATAGTTCGAGGACAATTTTGACCCTTTTCCGTTTAAAAAATGACGTGAAACACTGTAGAAAATTTGACGTAATGACTAGTGTCATACCTCCTTTTTTCGAGGGATAGGAAAAATTTTTCAATTTAAGTGACATTATTCGAAATGGCATTATTTATTTAATTCAGATTCGCCACTTAGAAAAATTATGATGGTATCCAAGTCACCGGTTTATTTTAAAATTCCAAATCGAGGAAATTGACTCTATTTATGGTCCGCGAATACAGAAGATCGAGTAAGGAATTCTGTTAACCCGGAAAAAGGTATGAGGTACTTCCGAGTTCCATGATTTTAGCACGGTCGCTTAACAATTAATATCTATCTTAAATATCTGAATTATTACAGGTTTAAAACCTATTGTGCATTTTTACTTCTAACCGCTTTTAATTAATTTTAATTACTGTTTAGGAATTATGGGATTTATTTGAACAAGTCGCGCACTCGTTTGTTTTTGTACATATTGTAAATCACGCCACGTGAAACGTACCAGTGATTCACAATACGTTTATTTTAAATATTATTTGAAGTTGTGGTCAAGTCGCGTGAAACACGCACTTGAGTTGAGATTTACATATTGTGACCATGTCACGGGAACTGTACCCATAGTCACTATGATTTATTAATCGCACCTAAAGTAAACTAGGAATGTTTATGAGCTGTTTAATTCCTAATACTGCTTTGAGGTATATTGCAAGGTCAAAAGAATTATGGAGAAACGTTGTTGACAGAATGTGTACAGATTGAGATAATTTTAAGGTAAATTGACATAAGCATCATTGAATTCGAACGTCAGTTAATTATTCTATCATTTGAGACCCATAAGTTTGGAAAACGACTATTTGAAGAATCACGAATAATTAAGCTCAGAACTTCTGAAAATCCCTACATGCCTTGTATTTACAAAATCACTCAACCACTGAATGGCAGTATTATAGATTAACAAAATAAATAAATGGTTTGAACAAATGAACTTCTATCAATTTAAACATTTGTAATTTACATGAACAGTCACCTAAGCAAATACACTGTCAATTATGGAATACATCATCTTATGCTTAAAATTACAACATCCATCCTCCATTAAAGAATACAGGTTTGGTTAACCTTCACTATGATCACAACTCTAACTCATGCTTAATGAATAACAAACCCAAACAACAAAGAGCCGACAGAGATGAAACTTCACTCAAGCCTTAAATGGCAAATCAAACCAACTTGTGGCCAGATCCACCATTATTGACCTGCAAATACAGCATTAGACTTTAATTTATCAGAATACAAAAGCAAGTTCAGATTTCAGTAGTTAACACTCAAATATAGGCAGCATGTATTTGATAATGAGATATGTGGGTTGAGATCCAACTAAACATGTGAAATTAGCTACAATTCTTGTCAGGAAATTGTAATGGAGACCATTTGTCCTTAACATGCAAATCCATAATAGATTTTAAGTCTTAAACATATCAAAACTAACATCTATTCATGTTCAAAACAGAACAAACAGTCAGTTTATATAATCACAACAAATAACTTTAAAGAATAACCAACATTTCATTGCAAATCAAAACAGAGGTACATGTGTGAGATGTGTACCTGAACTCATAAACAAGCTGAACCTTTTCCAAATAAAGGCTAAGAAAACCAACACGAGATGAATTCAACAAGATCAACAGCAGGAAACAAAAGAACAACCTCAAGTCTTAGCTAAACAGCAGAGTGACAACAACAGATTTTTTCAACAACTCTATGCAATTTTGAAGAAAACAGAAGTTGAATAGCAAATCAAAAGAGAGAAAACAGCTTGTGAAAACCTTGATCGAATTTTCAGAGTGTTATCTTTTAGAAATCAGTGTAAAAAATAAAGAAAAAGAGTCTGAAATTTTTGGAGAGAGTGAATGTCCAAAATGAATATGCAGGGGTGATTTATATAGGGAATATGTGTGCCATATGAGAGAATGAGAGAGAGTGTGAGAGTATTCTGCCAGCTCCCTAAAAATCAGGAATTGTCATCTTTTTCAACTAAATTGGACAGCTGTACTTTTCAGATATTTTTTCTTATTTTCAGCATCTTTTCTTAACCAATTTGGACAGCTGTCCATCATCTATTCCTTTCCTATTTTTATCAGCCCCTTACTTCTGAAATTAACCCCTTTTGACCTTTGATTTACTGCATTTTAACCCCTTCCCAAACTCTTCTAGAACTTTCCATCAACTAAAAGAGAATCTAATTTTCTATCCCATTCACCCCACTAAAATTCCAATTAATACCAACTACTGCCTTTACCTCAACCTACTGTCCTCTTTTATCCCACATAATCAATATTTACTAAACAACAACTAATTAATCTAAATTGAAATTAAGCTATCAAGTACAAATTAATCACAATCAGCAAACTAATTGACCTATCAATTAAGCACATGCGTAATTAAAACCATAACCTAATTAATCGATTGAACTTCAAGTAGAACTAAATCAAATAATTATTCGGAAAGCTAAAATATTTTCAATTATTAACCTAAGAATGCTGACATTCAAACAGGTGATTACTAACTAAATGCAAGCCTACGGTTATTTAGCTAATCTATGAGCGAAACTGATTCAATTAAACTAGGTCAAACAAACCACACAATTAAAAAAAATCTTCTGCTTTCAACAAACAAAATCAACAAAAGAATAAGATAAAAAGGGTGAGGGAGTACCTATGGAAGGAAAGACGATTCAATTGAAGCGATTTCAATGAGGTTCGACCGGATTCCGATGGTTCCGAAATGAGCTAAAACTTACATTAATCAATTGCCCTTGACTAGAGCAATTGATCAATGTCAGTTTCAAGTCAAAACAGTTGAGAATCAATGAAGAAATCAAAAGGGAATGAAGCTAGGTTTTCTGACCGTTTTTTAGATCTGAAATTCGTGAAGTTTGGGTGGTTTTTTTGGGGAAATTGATGGGATATTCGGGATTAGGAGGATGTGAGGACTGTGGGGTGTGACTTTGAGGGAGATTGGAGTTGTTTGAAGCGGCGCCGCTAGCAAAGGGTCTTGGGACGGCTAGGATTTGAGTGAGAGAGATGAGAGGGAATGAAAATGGGGGTCTCTAAGGGTTTGGGGGGTCGGTTCGGACAGATATAAGGGAATTGGGTGGTGAGTTTATGGCCGTTGGATTAAGGGAGATCAACGGTTGAAATTGGGCGTGAAAAAAATGGATCATTTTGTTATTTGGG